GCGTGTGCGTGTGCGTGTGCGTGTGCGTGTGCGTGTGCGTGTGCGTGCGTGTGTGTCTGTGAGTGTGAGTGTGTGTGCGTGTGTGTCTGTGAGTGTGAGTGTGTGTGTGCGTGAGTGTGCGTGTGTGTCATATCATACCAGACCGCAAAGCAAACCTTCAGTCTCAACATAATTAAATGATAATAACCATGAGACTTGTCAACTTATGTCACAGATTTTTACAATTTAAGGCTCTGAGTGCACTGGAACTTCTAGTGCACCCCAAGGTGCACTACTTGTCCGTCACTTGATATGATAAACAAAAACAAATGGCGGCAGTATTTACAATTACAGTCAAATGTCGTATTGTCAACGACACAACAGGTACCTAATCCTCAAAAATTTTCAATGACGGCCCAAAATAGACAATTTTGCAACAAATTCAATTTAAAACCGGGCTTCAAACGTCAAAAGCCTGGATCGTAATTGTCGGGTTGCAATATAGGAGCCGGGAGCTGTACTTCACAGCTGGCAGCTTAAACGTTGCAACGAGATTGCTAGCATTCATATGATGCTTTATCTGTTGTATCTCCTCGTATTTCACTTTGCTCGGCTTTACGGGAGTTCGCGACACGCGCAAGTATTTCGAAATATTTGAAACTCTCTCGGACATGAGTTATTTTTATCATTTATTTTTACGTATTTTTATTTGTATTAACGGTAACCGAGCGAAATACTGCCACCTTAACTATTTCTACTGCCAAGCAGTAATTTGAGCATTCTTGTGTTCTGCGAAATTACAGGCATATGAGAGTAGTCAACTTATGTCTCAGGGAGATGGCAGTGCCGTCAGACCTTTGTTATTTAAAGCACTGAGTGGCAGTGCTGTAGACAGGCGTGTAGCTATGTTTGTTGATGGGCGCATGACATGTTCGTCCCGTCACTAGGTGTCATAAAAAAACTGCGTACGAAGCCTTCTTGGCATCCACTTAAATTCCACAATAACCGAACGGAACTACTCGGCGGCTCCTTAACATAAGTTAATACCTGGATTGAAATTTCATGCATAACGATATAAATTAAATAGGTATTTGCTATCGTTATACTTCGTTTTTTTTTTATAAGAGAAGAATGAGTAGCAAACGCTAGGGGTTGCTCTTTGTAAATAAACATATTTTGGTACACATTTATCATTTATTTATCTCGTGAGTTTGGGTGTAATTCGTGGTTGTTTATGTGTGTGTCCACGACACCTGCGACACGGGGGTTTCCCTAGTGCGGGGCTATGCGTGTGGGCGTTATTTATTATTCACAATATTTAGTTCAAATAAGACAACCTGCAAAAGCTAAACGGGTCGCTACCATAGATTTTTGTCATTCAAGTACACAGAAGCTTAATGTAAAGTTTTTGTTTCACTATACTTTTAAACCTCGTGAATGGCAATTTTGAATATCAACCGGAATCTTATTGTAAAAGCGTATATGTTGCCAGTTAAATGAATTGGTGACTTTATAAACACGACTATCAAGAATAGACAGTATATTTTTCGTAAAAAAAATACTACTCTACTTAACATAAAAAGACATAACATTATTTTATGGTGACTAAATAAATTAGATGACAAAGCGAAAAGACGACAAGAGAATGGTCGGCACGAAACGAAAAATTTACAAAGGATAATTGAGTCGCGTTCAGAACCTTCAAAGCATAAAAAAGTTACAGAACATAACTCTGTCTAATCGAATTCAAACTGGTGACAATTAATTGAAAAATACAACTTCTGTGATAGTAATTCATAAGCCTTACTGCACCAAGACTTTACTTAAAATTTTAAATAATTAATTAAATTAAAATTTTAAGTAATTTTAAAACACTTTTAATATTTAACACGAAACGGTCATTGCAAGGGTTACATTATTACACAGAATTTTAAAAAGGGTAAATAATTTTAAACATGCATTATGAATAAATAGAAGGTAACAAAATGGGACGGCCATACTTCCGCTGGTGCTTACGCATAAAAACAAACAATTTTATATTTAAATGCCCGACAAAATCATTTGGTTTCCCATATGGTTTTTTAAATATTTTTATCAGTAAATTAAAAACAGTACCAGAAAAGCGAAAAATGTTTTTCAACGTCTAGAGTATGAGAGTGTAGGGTCCATTATTCTCACTGCCGGCCAAGCAGACTCCCAAGACCGATCTACTGACGGCTAAGGGTGGCCAAGACCACAGTGAGAGGAGTAGCGGGTAGTACTAAGCAGGATGATGAGTTTGACGAGTTAAAATCAGATGGTAGTGGATAACTAACTTAATATTTACAATTCTTATTACTATTTATATAATTTTTATGACTAATACATAATGATAGGTTTTTCTTAGTGTGCTATGTGTGTTGGTTTGCCAACGAAGCTCTTTTCTGCTAAGTAAGTAGAGATGAATATGCTATAGGCGAAAAACATGACGCGTCGCGACGCTTGACTCTGCGCCAGTGTGAGTTGAGCCTAATGGTTCCCGAAACTCAACCTAGTAGCACAACCTTACAAAATTTCAAGTTGATGCTAATAGTACCTAGCGTCGTCGATGTCTACAGACGAACAAGAAAGTTTAGTGCCGGATTTACGTAAACGTGCTCGCTGCGTTCGACGAAACATTCAACAAACATTCGTACACGAGGGCCGACGATAACTACCCGTTCACACATTCGTGT